ATCAAGGCACCATCTAGTGTTTGCCTTGCGCCATGTTGCCATTCCAGCTGTGCCATATCTCTGAACTCCCGTGCCATTGAGGTAAGTAAAGTGCATATTCTGAGAAAGGTCAGCGATGTCCTGCAAACGGTCATAAGTAGTGGCGTACATAGGATTGAATTGAAGAGTACTGTGTGTGTGTGCTTGCTCCCTCTCAGCGCCGTAGTCATGATGCGGATGGCCGAGACTGCAATTGTCACTGTGAGTTTTCAATTCTGTCGGCTCACAGTACAAGGGAAACACGCTGCCTCGACTGAACGAGCACCGAGGAGGAAGCAGTAAGAACTAAATTTGGATTCGGTACGGGGAGTGTGGTGGTCCAGCCCTCCCTGCAGAGCCGACGCTGAGGAGGAGGAGAAGGAGTATGAGGAGGAGGAGGACCAGTGTAAAGTGTAAACCCAAGAGTCATCAAAGATATTGGAATCAACCCTCCCTCCACGCTCCCTCTTCATAGGCCCCTACCACGGTTCATTTCCACTGAGGGAACTGCTTAGTTGGAAGGCAACCGTTTGAAGACCCAGAAGCATGCCAAAACATTGTTCTCGGGATTCCAACGCCACGGATGAACCTGACTGTTGCGTCTTGACGATCTAGAATCGCGCCAGAACGCCATTCCTGGGACTTCAACACCGCGAATCAACGTAACTGTTGCACCCTCTAAATCCAGAACCGTTCCAAACCATCATTTTTGGCACGCTGACCTTGGGAATCCGTGAGGCGTTTGCAATGTTTGAGAACACATGTGCGCGGCGCTAAGGCGAGAGCGACATTTCGAAGAGGAACCGCCCTCAATCCGCGAGCCCCTGCCGCATGTTTAAACGAATGTGCGCGGCGCTAAGGCGAGAGCGATACTTTGAAAAGGAACCGCCCTCAATCCGTGCAGTTTTTTGCGAATTTTAAAGACGAATGTGCGCGGCGCTAAGGCGATAGGCACATTTTGAAACTACCCGCCCTCCATCCATGAAGCTCTTGCATATGTTTACAACGAATGTGCGCGGCGCAAAGGCGAGAGCCACATTTTGAAAGCCACCCGCTTTCAATGCGTGAAAGTCCTGCAAATGTTTGAAATGAATGCACGCGGCGCTAAAGGTGAGAGCCACATTTTGAAAACCACCCGCCCTCCATCTGTGAAGCTGCTGCCACTTGTTAAGCTTCAGGATCATGAGTGGTGAGGAAGTCTGAGGCGAAACGCCCGACCCGCCCTAAAAAGGCTTCGGGGTGCGACAGGGAGAAATTATTCATAAGGAAAAGGAATAGGGGAGGAGGAGGGCCAGGGCCGGCGGGCGAGGGCGGGCGTTCCGGCGGGGGGGGGGGGGGCAAGGGCCTGGGCCGGGCCTGGGGCCGGGGCCAGGGTCAGGGCCAGAGCCGGGGCCAGGGCCAGGGCCGGGGCCAGGGCTGGGGCAGGGGCCAGGGGCCGGAGCCAGATCATATTTATCACCACGCAGTGTAGACAATTGCGTTCTCCTTTCTCAAAAGAAAGTAGATTCTCCCCCCCCACCGGGCGTTATCCCCACCCCTTTTCGGGTATATTGAGCCATATATGATTATGACCGCATGTCCATCTTAAATGAATTTACACTACCCCAGGGGGGCTGGTATCGCTTCCCTTGAGGTTCCCTTGTAAAGCAAAACAATGCGCGGGAACATTTTTTGTTCTGACAAACGACTTTTCCACGAATCCCTTGCAACAAATTGGACGAAGTGCACACGCGCGCGTCGTCGCGCGCGCATGCCGAAATCCTTCCAAAACCTTCGGTGTCGGAAGGATTTCGCAATCGAGGTTCCAAAACACGTACAAACACAGGGTTTTCGCAACACTGATTTGCTAAGAAAGCTTACGCGCGAACTCTTGCGAAATCTTAAGAAAACCATAGGTTTTTCAAGATTTTCACAAAATGCTACCAAACGGGCTTCGCGCGCGCGCATGTCGAAATCTGTCGAACGCCCTTGCGCGTGTGTCGTCGCGAGAATCCTCTGCACAACATTGGACGAAGTGCACACGCGCGCGTCGTCGCGCGCGCATGCCGACAATCCTTCCAAAACCTTCTGTGTCGGAAGGATTTCGCAATCGAGATACCAAAACACATGCAAACACACAGGGTTTTCGCAACATTGATTTGCTAAGAAGCTTACGCGCGAACTCTTGCGAAATCTTAAGAAAACCATAGGTTTTTCAAGATTTGCACAAAATGCTACCAAACGGGCTTCGCGCGCGCATGTCGAAATCAGTCGAACGCCCTTGCGCGTGTGTCGTCGCGAGAATCCGATGCAAAAAACGGGACGAAATGCAGACGCGCGCGTCGTCGCGCGCGCATGCCGAAATCCTTCAAAACCCATCGGTTCCGGAAGGGTTTCAAAATCGTGTGTCCAAAAAACCTACAACAACACAAGGTTTCGCAACACGGATTTTCAACAAAAGCGTGCGCGCGCGCTTTTGCGTCGTTGTCGTCGTCGTCGTCGCCGTCCTCCCTTCTCCCGCGTCGTCGTCGTCGTCGTCGCCTAAGTCGTCTTCTGTCTTTCCTCGTGTTCGTCGTCGTCGTCCTCTTTGGCGTCGTGGTCGTTTCCGTCGTCGTTATCGCCGTGGTCGTTTTTCCTCCTCCTCCTCCCTCGTTGTCGTCGTCGTCCATCGTCGGCGTCTCGTCGTCGTCCCTCCTACTTCGTCGCCGTCGTCGTCGTCGTCGTCTTCCCTCCTCCCTCGTCGTTGTCGTCGTCGGCGTCGCCGTCCTCCCTCCTTCGTCGTTCGCGTCGTTGCCGTCCTCCCTCCTTCCTCGTCGTTGTCGTCGTTGTCGCCGTCGCCGTCCTCCCTCCTCCCTCGTCGTCGTCGTCGTCGTTGGCGGCGTCGTTGTCGTCGTCGTCGTCGCTGTCTTCGTCGTCGTCGGCGTCGGCGTCGTCGTCGTCGGCGTCGGCGTCGTCGTCGTCGGCGGCGTTGTCATCGTCGTCGTCGGTGTCGTCGTCGTCGTCGTTGTCGTCGTCGAAGTCGTTGGAGACGTCGTCGGTGTCGTCGTAGTCGGTGTCGGCGGCGCCGTCGTCGTCGTTGTCGCTGTCGTCTTCGGCGTCGGTGTCGTGGCCAAGTGCCATGTGGTACCTACCGTCACGGTCTTGTCTGAAGAGGTCTTGCGGCCAAGTTGCGGGTGGGAGGGTGGGATGTTTGCACGAGCAGTGGAGAGGACAGTTTCAAGACGGTCAAAGTGAGCTTCCACCACTTAGCTTCCGCCGCATCGCCTCCACCACAAGCTTCCACCACATAGCCTTCCACGACCAGATCACGATGACGCAATGTCTGTAGTCCACGCAGGCAGTCGTATTCGCGATGCCGTATTTTGTTTCGTGCTGTCGCATCTCAGGGAGCTGTGCTTCGGTTCACGCCCCCCTAGGGGGCTGGCGGGCCCTGCTCCTGGAGCGACGGCACTCGCTCCGCGGCAGCTCCGCGCCCTCGCTACTCTTCCTCCCTCCTCCTCCTCCTCCTCCTCCTCCTCCTCCTCGTCTTCCTCCCTCCTCCTCCTCCTCCTCCTCCTCCTCCTCCTCCTCCTCGTCTTCCTCCTCGTCTTCCTCCTCCCTCCTCCTTTCCCTTCGCCCCGCCTCCCCCCTCCCCCCCCTCCCCGTTCCCTCCCCTCCCCGCCGCCTGCTCGGCCTTGTGGTCGTCTTCTCGGCTGCAGTCGGCGCCGCGTGGCAGTCTTCTCGGTCACGCGGTTGTCTAATACCAAGGTCCCAGGGAACGTCCCCTTCCTCCCTCCTCCCTTCCTCCACTTCGGCGGGCAGTCGGCGTGGACCAGGCACGCTCCACCAGCCTGATGGTGTTGCGGCGCGGGCCACTGCAACGGCCCAGATTGCAGTCCGCGTTCGGGTCGATCCTTTTGGTCTGTGGACCGCGGTTGCGCACACGGTGTTCGACCCCGTCCAGTAGTACCATGCGCAGCGAATCGGTATCGCCTTTACCTTGATCTGATTGGACTTACCTTGATGTCTCACTCTGGCGCCCAGCCTGCGAGTGCAAGAGCTGGTACTGCTTCGCGTGCGCCCGAAGGTACAAAAGCACATCGCAACCAGGTGACATCCGTAGTCCTTCGCATGTGTTCTGGCAGGCCCAGAACGAGGATACATAGTTCCAGAGCGTTCCGGAACGCACTGGAGCCGGCTGTGGCGCCCCCGCCAGTCTCCGAGTTTCCAGGTGTATCCGCAACGGAGTTTGTGCCCATTTTGCCTTCGTCTTTCTGTTTCGAAATCGAAGATGGTTGCTCTTATGATGCGCGGCTTGGGTCGATCCTGGATAGTCCCCTCCTCCTCTTCTTCGTCCGCCTCCTCGATTCTTCTCGATTTCCCCCCTCATCGATCCTCCTCGATCCCCCACCAGATCCTCGTCCTCAATCCGCGGTTGCGGTACTATGGCCCGTTTGAGGTCTAGTGTCCACCTGGGCCAGGCGTGTTGGTTGGAGGTGCCAAACCCGTTCGGAGAGGGGTGTGTGCCCATCAAGGAGGTATTTCTCAACACCCGGGTTAGACCGCCTGGGGGCCGGCGTCACGGCCCCCTCTCCTGAAAGAAAACGACAGGCATGGAGGGGGGAGGGCAGGCGGGAGGAGGGAGCCAGGCCAGGGGGTGCGAGGCACCTGGCCCCCTCACGGATCCTCGAGCCCTCGAGCTCTGAGACCCGACCCTGCAAACACAGCTACAGCATCGCGACCGGAGCCCGAAACGAGGTGAGATCGCCCGCCGTGGAGAGACTGCGACGCCAGGATCTCAGGGAGCCATCAGCTTGGCATTGCTCGGACGTGTGCATTTTTCTTTCGGCGAGGACCATCGAGGAGCATCCTTGATCATTTGGCGAAAAAACTACGCACGAAACCAACAAATGCACAGGGAATGGACGTCCGAGCGATGGCCAGTCAGGCCCTCGAGGCCCCCCTCCCAGGCCTCCGAGTCTCTGGAGGGTCTGCGCCGGCGGCCGCTCGGCGCGACGGGACAGGCCGATGCTGCGGGGGCCGCAGCGCGTGCCGCACGGCGGCCCCGCGGGTCTCTACCACGACATGTTGCTGCCCTGCGGCCTCTTCCAGGAGGAGGCCAGCCCCGTGCTCGGTCTCCTCCGCTCTCCGGGCCGAGAAGTTCGAAGGGGGAACAACCGGCACTGCTCCTCGCGGATATTTTGGATCGGCGTTGGGCTCCCCCTTGGCTGCGCGCGGAGCACTCCCGAAAGCTGATGCCTGTGCCGTTGTTCTTATCCTGCCTCTGCAGGGCCGATCTGGGTTCGGAGGAATGGGTACGATGCCCGACTTCGACAGCGGCCGTGGTTTGACTGGCGACCTCTTGTCTCAAGTGGACATCGAGCATGGCGACACCGACAGCGAGTCCTTTTCTAAATGGTCAGGGACTGCTGTCGGTCTTCGTCCCCATTCTTTCCGTACCTATTCCATTTCTCCAGGGCCTGTCGGATTGGACGAAGGAAGGGGTGGATAGGGAAGAGCGGGGGCGAAATCTGCTGCGTACAGCTCGTTTCGGCCTTCTCCGCGGGGCGCCTTGCTCGATACAGGGCCGAGGAACGGAAAGCCGCATAAGCACACACTTTCGGAGCTCGGAGTTCTGCGCGGATTTCATGGATCCGCGTTAGGCTGCCCTACCGGCGCCCCCGGCGCCGCCACTGGCAGGTGCCGGTTCTGCGGCTTCTTTCAGGAGGCGGCCAAGGGATCGTGATTAGCGGGCATGGCTGGTTGGCGTTGGGTCGGCCGAGTCCCTTCAGGTGCTGTCCGGGAGGTCGCAATACTAACCTGATTGATTGCGGCCTTCGGGTGGCACTTCACGGTTGATGGGTCAGGTCAGTGCTCGGTCGGCGTTGGTGACTCTCGATATATGCATTCGGGCCCAGGTCGGGAGCAGAAAGAGGAATTTTGTCAGCATTCCTGTCGGTCGAGTCCCTTGAGGTGCTGCCCGGGAGGCCAGAGCACTGACCTGACTCATTTTTGCCCTGAGGCGGCAGTTCCACGGCCGACTGGTCATGTCAGTGCTCGGGCGGCTCGGGTGGCAATCAAGCAACTTCCTCGGAACCTTGTGCTGACTTGGCTGCTCTTCTGTTGCCTACCATACGCGGGGGGTCATCGGGCTCCTCCTCCCCGTGGTTCCACCTCAGGGGCAAGGACCAGGGGGGGACTGGCCCAGGCTGGGAGACATCGACCCCGACCGCCCATTCAGATCGGGGCCATTCATCGTTAATCGAGAGCGTGTCCTTTCTTTATCGGGGACCCATGGCCGACCTATCGGCGATGTATCGTTGATTATTCGTGGTCGATGTTTGCCCCCCAAAGCTGGTCCCCTGCTGTCGTTCTCCCTCATCTTCGGCCTCCTCCTTCCCTTGGCTCCTTCTCCTTCTCCTCCTTCTCGGGTATGCTGCTGGCGCGGCACGCTGCATCCCCCGCCCCACATTTGTACCGCCTCCTCCAAGAAACCCGCGCGCATCTCAGAACAAAGCTATGTTCTTTGTTATCATAGCATCGCCCCCCTTCTCGCTCCTTCTCCTCCTCTCCTGGGAGAAGTAAAACGTCATACACATAGATGTTCAGAGTTCTGCGCCGATCCAGGACACCCGCGAGGACCCCCGAAGCCGTGCGATGGTCCTGCCTCCCCCTCCCCCATCCCTCCATCCGTCCGTCCTTCCTCTTTCCCTCTCCTGGCAACGGCAGGCGATTGACATCATGTTTCGCGAGCTGAGCCCAGACGATTTCGAGATGCTCGCGAAGCTCGACGAGCACCTCCCGAAGAGGAGCTGAGGGGATAGTAGGACGGTGAGGTTGGTGAGGACAACGCGGGGGACGAGGTGGAGGAACAGGCGACGGATGAATACAGCGGCGAGTATAAGGATGGTGACAGCGTCGAGCAGCATGCTGCAGAGGGTATAGAGGATCAGAGGAGGAGGAGGAGGAACTACTTACAACGGAGATGACGAATGTGAGAATCATGCTGGTACGCTTACACGCTTACTTACGATGCGCCAGCGATGCTGCAATGCACCCTCCCGTCCCCTGGCCTGGAGGAGGAATCATACTTACAACGGAGATGACGATTGTGAACAGCATGCCGGTCAGGGCAAGCTTGCTTACAGTGCGCCATTCATGCTGCAAGGCACCCTCTTGTCCCGAGGCCTCTCGTCAACAAACCAGCGACGCGTGCCCGACGGGCCTGCCCCTCGAGCCGGGAGCCCCGCTTGGAACGTTTGAGCACCCCCGCGTTTTGGGCTGTAACCTTAAGTCTAGCATGCTCCTGTACAGGAGGAACGTTCAAACATAATCGAACATAGTAAGGGGACGATTTTCCGCCTCTTTGTTTGGTGTCAATGTTCTGTATGTGTGTTGACTATTTGTTTGTTGTCTTTTAAACTCCGCCTGTAGGGGGGCACGCCCGACCTAACTGTAACCTGGCAGGGATGTGGGATCCGAAAGTCCAGGGGGGCGTCCAACGAACACCGCGGTTCGACCGGGAACCGCCCATGACCAGGGCAGCTGCTGTGGTGTTGTACACCTCTGCTTCAAACATCCGCGGACGTCTGACGCGACCTCTGCACTCCCAGATGGGGGCATCTTTCCGTCCGCCTCGTTGGACATTGCAAGCTTCATGATCACAAACGATGAGGACGCCTGCTCCGAGGCGCTCGGCCCGCCCTGCCGACACGCCTGGTGTTGCGACCGGGAGTATTGCATTGCACGGAGGGGTGGTGGTGGAGGAAGCGGAGGAGGAGGAGGAGGAGGCAGATGATGAGTTGAGGTTGAGGGGAGAGAAGTAGACATGGTGGTCTCAGGATTGGGAGGCATGCGTATGTTGGAGTTGATGGGGAAGAGAGCTGAGGAGGAGGAGGAGGAACATGAGGAGTAGTATGAGGATGAAGTTGATGATCAGGCGAGGCTAACTCAGGGGACGGAGGCGTAGAGGGGGCGGTGGACGCAGATAATGTGTGAATGGTGAGAAAAGGCGGAATGAGGGAGAAGAGGGGGGGTGGTACGGGGGATCGGGTTGTGGGAGCTAGCAGGAGGGGGGGAGTGGAGGTGGTATGAGTAGGACGATGGATGAGGGACTGTGCGTTGATTTGGAAGAGGACGCTTCAGGGGGGACGGAGGATGATGGCGTGGTGTGTCGGGGAACGCAAGATGAGGCAGGCTGGGGGTATGCCAACAGGAGAGTTGGAGGTGGGGCGGGGAAGATAATGCATTGCCCATCTCGATTGCATCGATCCGATTCGATATCAATTCCAGCTTGCCCGATTCGATCCGTACCCGATTTCCAGGCGATTCGACGCGACCCGATGCTCGCATGGCGTGGTTGTGCATCCTGGTGCGGTCGATTCGATTTCGACGCCGTGCCGATGCGGCCCGGTTCTATGCACGTTCCGATGTGATGCGCTTTCCCTGTTCGATGCTGATTCGTCATGGGATGAGGGGGAGGATATTCAGGACGACGGCGAACACGAGGGTACACCTGGTACAGCGGAGAGACGACGAGAACCGAGTTGATAAAGTGTGGTATGGAGAAGGCGCATGGCGACACACACAAATACGTACACGTACGCACAAACACACACACACACACGCACGCACGCACGCAATCACGCACGCACACATTCATTCAAACACAGACGCACAGACACACAGACACACAAACACACAGACACAGCCACATAGACACACAGACACACAGACACGCAGACACACCGACACACAGACACACTGACACACAGGCTCACAGGCACACATATACATAGACACACAGACACACAAGCACAGACGCACAGCCACACAGACGCACGGACACACCCCCACAAACAAACGGACACACAGACAGACACACAGGCACACAGACACACCGACAGACACACCGACACACAGAACCACAGCCACACAGCCACACAGACACACAGGCACACAGACACACAGCCGTATAGACAGACACACAGACGCATAGACACAGACACACAGTCACAGACGCACAGACACACAGACACATACACAGACACAACCACACAGACACAGACACGCAGGCACACAGACACACAGGCACACAACACACACAGACACAGACACACAGGCACACAGACACAAGCCACACAGACACACAGACACACAGACACACAGACACACAGACACACAGACTCACAGACACACAATCACACAGTCACACAGACACATGGATACACAGTCACAGACACACAGGCACACAGACACACAGACACACCGACACACCCACACAGACACACGGGCACACGGACACAGGCACACAGGTACACAAAACCCGCAGACACACAGACACACAGACGCACTGACACAGGCACACAGACACTCCGACACAAAAAGAGACATGCTTACAGACACATGGACACACAGACACACAGACACTATCGACACGCACAGTCACACAACCACAAACACACACCAACACGCAACCAGACAACACACACACACACGGACTCACGCACGCACGCGCGCGCACCCACACACCCACACACAACACACACACAACACACACACACACTTTTGCGTCGGCGGCTGGGCCGAGGGTGACTGCTCCGGCGATCGGGCATCAGGGGGGCGCACTGAATGCAAATTGGGCCGCGATGCGCGCGGGAAGAGGAGGAGGCCCCAGCGCGAATGGAAAAGGGGACTCCGGGCCCGCTTAGGCAAGTCACCGGCTGCGGCGGGGGGAGCGCCGAGGGGAGGGGAACCAGCCGCGGCGCTGGGCAGCAGCTGGGGGGGGACGGCAGCCCAGCGGCGGCGGGGCAAGGCCAGAGGGGGGACCAGCACAAGCGATGCAGTAACCACACCAATGGGGGAGCCGGCAGTGCAGGCGGACCCATGGGTGGGCCGAAGCGCCGAGACCCAGAGGCCTACGAAGCGCGGCGGGAGGCGTGGAGGGCGGGGCGGAGGTAGCCGCGAGAGCGCAGAACAAGGGCGGCAGACGCAGGCCGGCGAGAAGGCGTTGGACAAAGGACGAAGAGGCGGAGCCGCGCCATCAGGGGGAGCGGTGTGGAGCTGGGAGTGCCAGCAGGTGGGCGGGCGAGCGGAGCCCAGTGAAGAGGCGAGGCGCTGAGACCTGGAGGCCCACGAGGCGCGGCGGGGGGCGAGAAGAGCGGAGCGCTGGCAGGCCGGCGTGCAAGCGAAGGAAGATGGCCCAAGGGGGCGGCGTGGTGCTGGGGGCACCAGCGGTGAGTGGGCGGGCGCCGAGACCAGAAGGCCTACGAGGCGCGGGGGGGGAGGGCAGTGCAAGGCGCCACGGCAGCGAGGCAGCGACCCACCCACCAGTAGATTGGCGGATGGTCTAGAGGCTGGCCTGGAAACCAGGCAGGCGAGCGGGGACCCAGGCCAGAGGCAGCAGGGGTCACCCGGTTGGCGGCCAGGACGGAGAGCGCCGAGACCAGCAGTCCTGCGGCACGGAAGGAGGGGGGCGGCCAAGGTTTGGGCGCCGCGTAATGGGGGGGTCATAAATGGGGGGGTGGCGAGGGTGGTTCGAAAAGGTACCCAAACGGTACCTAAACGAGCCCCCTGGGGCTCTGGAGGGGCCCGAAAGGGGCACGAAAGGGGACCTTTTCTGACCCCCCCGTTTATGACTCCCCCATTAAGCCACGCCCAAAAGGTACAGGCCACGAACGCCTGCGCGGAGAGGGCGGCCCACCGGTGCAGGGGGAGCGGCCCACCAGTGCGGATTGGAGCGGCCCACCACTGCGGAGGGGGAGCAGCCCACCCGCGAGGCGCGGAGGGAGGCGCCTGGCGGAGGGGGGCGGCCCACCTGTGCCCTGTGCGCCTGGGCGGAAGTGGCCGGCCCACCTTGCAGAAGGGGGATTGGCCCGCCAGCGGAAGGGGGAGCGGCCTACCTGCGCAGAAGGGGGAGCGGCCCAACGGCCAGGCGCGGAAGGGGGAGCGACCCACCTGAGTGGCGCAGAAGGGGGAGCGGCCAGGGTACTCAAGGAGAGGCACCGCATGGGAGCAGCTAGCGAGCAGGCCCACTGGCAGAACTGCTGAGGGGACCGCGTGCTGGCGTGAAAACCAGGCAAAGGGGGGGGACACCGAACAGGTGTAATGTCGATTACGGAGCCCTCCCCGCAGCCAGGGGCGCCTTCCGTTGCAGAAACGCCCCGGCGCACGGAGGGCTGCTGCGGTTTTTCGGTGCACCCGCAAGAGAATCAGGGCGGCGCCGAAGCCAGGAGGTGGAGGAAGCTGCGAAGGAAGGCGGCGTCGTGTCGGCCAGGGTCCCTGAAGCCCCCACCGCAATGAAAACAATACCTGGCCCAGGCCGCACTGGGTTCGCCGTCTGCTCGCTGTATGTCCGTGATTGTGGTGGCCAGGGCTCCGATGGCATTGAGGGGGTCGTGGCAGAAAACACCTGGGACACGGGCGGCACGCTCCCCGCCCTGGGGGGTGCTGTGGTAATCCTAGGCGCTTGAGCTGCCAGCGTTCGTCGCCGCTTGGACGGGAGGGTGAGGCGAAGCGACAGTGGAAGAGGGGGGTACCAGTCGCGATGCCCGTCGGCGCTGCCCTGCGGCCGGGTCAGCGCAGCCTCGGCGGGGCGCAAGGTGGGACGCCAGGCGCCGCCCCGTCTAGGCAGCGGCGCGCGATCCACCTGCGTGGGAGTGGAGTATCGATTTCCAGCCGTGGCGGCGAGAAACGCTTGTGGTGTCCGCGGCGGCGCCCTCCGTTCTACAGTCCTCCCGTGGCGACGAGGACCTCCTTGTGCCGGCAACCCTAGCGCCACCACGCACCCTGGCCGAGGCGTGACCGACCA